GTGACGGGGATTCGAACCCGCGACCCTCAGATTGCGAGTCGAGCGCCCTAACCACCTGGCCAACACATTTGTAGTAGCCAACTAGAATGTTTTCTTGGTTTTGGGAGTGAAAGCACACGTTAGGAGTAACCAGATAAAATGTTTTCTTGGATTTGGGAGTAAAAACATAAACGTTAAGAGTAGACAGTTAGAGTGTTTTCTTAGTTTTAGGAGTGAAAAGACACGTTAGGAGTAGCAGATAAAATGTTTTCTTGGTTTTGGAAGTGAAAACACCCGTTAATATTTTCTTGGTTTATCGTAATTCTAAGAGATAACAAAAAATCAAATAAAAAAAATACCCTGTACAATATACGGAAAGTCAAACGCGGCTTAAATTCAGGGTTAAGAGAAAATAAATTGGAGTCATACAACTAATTATCAATAATAAAAAAAACCATCGTGAGGACTTTGTATAGGTAGTAACTTCATGTGTACCTTTATGTAAATAATGGCTTTCAGTTAAATGTTCCTATTTTATCCTGCTTTAACGAACTCATCATAAATGTTCAAAGGAATAAAATAAATCCACGAAGTTTTCCATACTCATTATTTGAAACTAACATCAAATATCAGCCTTCTTTCCCTGCTAATACGGTCGTCGCATATATCGTTTATCTAACTGAATGAGAAAGGTGGATTTGTGAATGTCTAATGAACACTTCTCGCTAAAACGGAACTTAATCGACATATGTCCTCAAATTTGAAGCGTGAAGTAGAACTAACTCAATAACCACCATCCAACTGTAAATAGGTGGCGTCGTTTTTTTTTTTTTATTTGATATTACTTTCGCCAGTTTGTCTTATTGTAAACCGCATTTGTCACGGCAGTTTTAATGACTTATTATTTACCACAGTTTGTGGCATTCAAATACCTTCACGTGTTCACGTGCGTGCTCCACGTGTTTAAACAAGAATTATTTTCTTCAGTTGTTATTTACACCACATTTTATTTTTGAGTTAAGGATACCAGGGGGTGAAACATTGTGTCGAAACAGTCAGCCAAATTACTTCGTCTTTCAGTACTAACATTTCATTTCTTGATTGAATAAAACCTTTAAATACATTTGTAAGAGATTCTTACAGAATGCTGAAACATTATTTCATTTCTTCTTCATTCTTTTTCAGTGTTACGGAATATCTTTACCAAAGTTTGAGTCATTATTTTTCCGAGCAGCAGAGTTAAGGCCATGGGTGAGAATCGTTACACTTTTGGCTTTAGTATCGGTGTGGACCATCCTCCAGTCTTTGAAAACGGTAATCAACAGTTACTATTCCAGACATATCAAATGTGCTAATTTAACTCTAAAAATAAATCTAAGTAAACATCCAAATAAATATTTCTCTAATAAAACAGTTGATGTTGTTTAGAGCAAAGCTGTGCAATGGGTGCATCTGTGCTCTGCCCACCGATTGGAATTGAGCCCCGGATTTTAGTTTAATTTGTAAACTTACTCATGATCCACAATCGAATTTAATGTTATAACGGTTAAATATATACTGATGTAAGCCTCGTTTGCATTGATTAATCTGTTATAGTCCAGTGAAATATTAAAGGATCTAATCCTCGCGAAAAATTCAAAAATCGAATCTTTAGTAGAGAAAATGCCCAAATTACGTTATGTTTTATTCAGAGATGTAGATATAACTGCTAACTGTTTATGTATTGAATAAGGAGAAAATGTCCATATTACACTACGCTTTATTCAGAGATGGGGATACAACTGCTAACTGTTTATGTACTGAATAAGGAGAAAATGTCCATATTACACTATGTTTTATTCAGAGATGGGGATACAACTGCTAACTGTTTATGTATTGAATAAGGAGAAAATGTCCATATCACACTACGCTTTATTCAGAGATGGGGATACAACTGCTAACTGTTTATGTATACAATAATGAGGAAATATCCAAATTATCTTATGTTTACTGTTTATGTATACAATAATGAGGAAGTATCCAAATTACCTTATGTTTACTATTTATGTGTACAATAATGAGGAAGTATCCAAATTACCTTATGTTTACTGTTTATGTATACAATTGTCATTAGTAATGAAGAAGAAGTCTTGTAAACAACTGATCGGATTGATCTATGTCCCCTATGGTAAGTCTACGGACTCATGACGCTAGTATCTGGGGTTCGATTCCCCGCGGTGAACACAGCAGGTAGCCCAATGTTGCTTTCCTCTAAAACAAACAGATAGGTATATATATTAATATTCGCGAATCGCACTAGACCCTAAGGTAATATTGTGGTGATCCGATATTAATCGTTGTCATGGTTTGTAGCCTATAGAATCACATGTGGTTTTCCTCTAAAACAAACATATAGATCTATATTAATATTCGCGAATCGCATTCGACCCTACGGTAAGATTAATATATTAATCGTTGTCATGGTTTGTAGCCTATACAATCATATAAGTCTGATTATTAATTAGTTGGTTTTTGTTTTATTAGATACTAATTAACAACTAATTTATCTCCTACGTTTCAATCCAATATCTCGCCGTCTTCGGTAATGAAAGTGGCCGGAATTCCGTTCTTAGTCTTCTTGATAGAAAGACTTGTGTTCTCTCCACTCTTGTGGATTTTCTTTCGTTAAAACTTGAAATAACTATCGTAATGCTTTCACTGGGGATATTCACACTTAGCTGACCTCTGTACAAGGTTGATTGAACGTGTTATGAATAGTAGAATATGGAATGCTTTTTTTATCCATATTTTTCTCGTGTGTGGTTTTTATCCCCTTCATAATATGGAATGATTTGATTAAATATTAGAAATAACTGCTGTTGTTTTTTTATCCATTTTACTTAGTAAAAATTGTGTTTATTTTCTTCACAACGTTTACTTAGGTCATTCTTG